TCATTTGAGGCTGAGTCGATCTAGGGGAGGCCCAGGACCGATTCAGACAATCGTCACCGGTGTTGGCCATGAGCGAGACTCGAACTTGGGTGGCTGGGTTCGTAGCGCAGTGCTAACCGCTGCACCACCGCTCCCCAGGACACACACACACCAATGTTCCATTCGCTGTACAAAAGTGAAATTGTTTCCAAATATAATTGGCATACAATCCCGTAAAATGACCATGGTAAATATACCGGTTACTGTTTCTGTACGTTAAATGTTCCCCTCCGAAAGGAAGTACGTTTTTTTTTTATTAATACACGCGTGATTGTCTATCGTTCTACGAGATTACATTTACGATGACTCATTCCACATTTGCGTTGTGTAAGCGAGATTTAACTGAGTTTGCACATTTTACCAGAGGTGTAATGATTCACTTCCGATTCAGGTTCGTAATTTGATCACGGTTTTCACCCACAGAGGCACACACACATAATAAAAAAAACCGGGGGATATTTAATCGGAAGAAGAATCTCACGATAAGCGGTCGAGGGAGGGACTGTGATGTGGATCGACCGTCATGAGTAGTGAATTATTACACAACGGACAAAAACTAGGACTGTAGCTAAAATATTTCCCTGGATACCTATCTCAAAAAAAGGACAAAGATTCGAAAAAAGAATCAGTTATTTGTTTTACAATGTGGCGAACATGTGGGCGCTTGTGGCTGCCCGAGTGCCATGCAGCGTATACACATTTGAAAACATTACAAGCGTGATCGAATGCGTGCGTGTATCACGAGCCAAAGAATCAACATCAATCCATGAATTGATTAATCATTACACCTCTAACATTTATACAACTACAGCAAATCTGTTACTGCCAACAACTTCCTGGGTACCCATTAATGAAACCTGAAGTGGCTTGCCCTAGACGGTGAACATGCAAGAATTTATAACTTAACAATTTATTTCAAGAGAAAAAAAAGCTATATAATTGCGTAAATAAATCTGAGAAACCTGAACCAAGTTTTGTGTGCATCAAGCTTGGTCATTCTGGCGGTGATGGGTCACATCTAAAATACTTTCTTATTAAATAAACCATGATCCCGTGTTTCATACCCAACCGTGGCCTATAATAACAATGGAAAAAGCTCCTGTTGATAGATATGCCTCTTTACATGCACGGCATAGTTTCAATTAAAAATAACTGCACTTAGCATTGTATCAACTAATGGGCGTCTATTTCAGCAGGAAACTGCCATGACAGGTTTAACGTGCATTCAGTTTAAATCCCTATTTAAAGCAACAACGTGAGCTCCAGAGAACTACTGAGATCAGGTCCCACATTTAGAACGGGATGGTCCAGACTACGCCATCAAAGTCTATTCCCTGGCCCAATCTGCCCTCGTCCCACGACATTTTAAATTCACTGCGTAGGACCCAACACTAATCCCAATGCTGCAGTGGTGTAACGGTCAGCACACTGGATTTCAATCCAGAAATCACCGGTTCGATCTCACTGGCTCGGCATATGAAACAACGAACAAGTTTCTTAAATTTCTCCCCTATTTTCCAAGTTGTCCTGCCAGAATGAACGATTAGCCAGAAATAACCCTCCGGAGGGGCTCTATAGAAGTCCCTATAGTGGAGTCCCTTCAATCGGGCAGTGGCGTGAGCAAGGCATTGCAGGGCTGCTCCTTTACCTTTCACATAGGACCCGGCACGAATAAAAAAAAACTTGCTTTTTTAAAATTCTCGAATGTCATTTACATCCATTATATAATCATGAATGTATAATAACTGTATTATTATTTATTATTTGCATTGTTATATTTACACACACGGGAAGGAAACTATGTAGTATTTATGGCATTGATAAGGCAGGTGGCCTGCACAGAACTTCTTTGTTGAGGGCGTGTATTGCTAAGCTGGAAGGTTATATGTAGGAGGGGAAAAATCAATCAACAGTGAATTACAGAAGCAACGCCTCCTAACTTTGTGTACATAAGTACACAATGAATGGCTTTCAGCTGAACAACCTTTGAAATGCTTAGCTTTCACCATGAGGCAAAGCTACCACACTGCCCACACATGTCATCAAAACAAAAAGTATCGAATGCAGTAGCTCTACACTGTATGTATATGTATACATGTAAAATAATTTTAATGGTGTCTGCTATTTTGAGAGGTGCTGCAAGCCCTTAAAAGCTTCTATCGATTCATGTTAGTCCAGCTTCACGTACTTAACTATATTAAATGTTTACCTTACATAGAACATTGCTTACACACAGATGAATATTTAAAGCGAACATCAACTTTTTTACGCAGGCACCCACCGCGCTCTGTTAGTTTTTGTTTTGTTGTTGTTGCTACTACAAATAAAGATACATTGCATATAAAATAACAATAACTCAGGTATGCTACGATTGCGGTGACTTTTAAAGTAACGGATAACATTCGCATGTTACGCGTTGACGAAAGATATCTGCAGTGCAACCACTGTTTTTTTGTTGGAATATTCCCAAACGTGTCACCATCGCTTGGCGCCCAAATATACGGAACCATCTCTCGCTCTCTCTCTCTCTGCAAAGAGACGGACGACAGATGAACAACGCCAGCGCACTCCTACGCGCTTGCACTCCTCGCCCCACGTGACCACTACATTGACGCCGGCAACAAATTGCAAAGGACATCAATGCGATTGCCAACAATAAACCATTACGGAAACGTTCGTGCATGCACATGCGGACGTACACACGTGCGGACACATGCAGAACACAACATCAAGGGTCAGGAAGGGCCCGAATGAAAACTAATTTAATAAGGACGCCTTGCCCGCTATAACCTATTGACTTGTTGCCTCGAGAGATGTGACATGTTGGCCGAAGAGCGTTGCTGGCTTTGCGGCACAGAAGTGACCTTCCATGTGTTTAGACTGCACTCGTAATATTTCGAGGGTAGCAGGAAATGTGGCCGGAGGCAGTCAACGGTGAACACTGTTGAACTCACACTCGCTCACTGACTTTCTGCTGTTACAACACGAACATTGCACAATTTTTTGGTGGCAACGTCTCCAATATCCGTGCCTTAATTGACGTCAGCAACAACAACAAAAAAGCAGACAAAATAAATCACAAACGCTTGCACGGCTGAAATATTTTTCCAACACAGTACGATGTCGCATATCCACCCCCGACCAATGAACCGCGCAAACCCAGCGCTCCGTTTGTGGTGTAGTGGTCATATTCTGCCAATGTTCACAAAATCCGACCTTTTCGCACAAAGTCATGTTGCTCTTAATCTCGTGTGCATTCGCTTGTTTACAAAGCACGGTCGAGCGTTTCCCAACGGTGAGCGTAGCATGCGCTTTAATCCTTTCCAGTAACCCGTTCTGGTATGGTGGCGCAACTGTCATTTTCTACAGATGGTCACAAACCTGACCTTATCGCGTTTCCACCAATATCTCAGTCAAAATTAAAATTACTTGATACAGCTATTGTGCTGTGACGGTTCCACCTGAAGACGGAAGCTTGTGTTGCCTCCGAAACGTCGTGATTTTTATTTTATTTTTATTTTACTTTTATTAATTTTAATTTTTTACCTACGTGACTTTACCGAAAAAAAACCCTAAGAATATGAATCCTTGCAGTCACGAAAGCTTCAAATCTAGAATTAATATCTCAGTCCTCAGCGAAGATGGATAATCCCGACGTTGTACCGTATCTGCCACGCTGCTTCTGCCTCAGTGAAGTGACCACTTTCAAAATATTGAATGGCTTTTGGTTGCTGTCAAAGTGTGGGACTCTGAATGAGTCCAACCAGCTGTACATTCCACCAAAGGTTTTATATAATCCCATTTGTAAGCAAATTCACGTCATCCGTTTTCACATCCTTAATTCTTCCTTCAGCCACAACAAAGCCACCTACGACAATGCATCGAATCAGAAGTCCCATTTATTTGCAGCTTCTCATCTTTATCCTCTACCCCAATTTCCCAAGTTGTGATTTCAAGATGATCGAAACGAGCCTAATGAACTGCACTTTAACCGTCTTGCCTTCGAGACAATAACGGAGAACTATGGCGGAGCAAAAACGTTGAAACCTGGGGGGTGGGGGTGTGGGGGTGTGGGGGTGCAGAGGGGGGAGAAATTGGCGGGGTCACAACAGACAGCCCCTGAGGCCCAGGCAGCCCGGGTGGGTTTCAACCAACGGGGATCACCGAAATGGCCTTTAACGCTTGTATGTTTACGCAAGGAAAGCCTCACTGAGTCTCATGACTGCTTTTCAGGAGGGGCCCTGCCAAAGTTTTCAAAGCAGGGGGGGAGGGGGGGGCAACGGCTGCGAACTTTATTCTAATCGAGTAAAATTCGCGAATGACGTCACGGGATCTACAGCGGGCGTGTATGGAATCACGATTAACACGCCACGCCGCAGTATTAATCACGGTTAATACTCCGCGCCGCAGTATTAACCAGGGCGGTCAGCCAGATTCGAACCGCGAACCTCTGCTACGAGCGGTGAGCGTGCCCGCACCCGGGGCCGCGTCACCACCGTGCTTTGCGCCGGGAATTTCACCGTAGTCAACAAGGTCGCGGTTACCATAGTTACAGTATCTCTGTGCTGCATTCACACGACCTTAAATCGGTGTGTAGCAACAACACCAACAACACACGTGGGGGTCGCCCTGACTGGCGTAACTTATTTTGCCGTGAGCTTTTACGTCCGCGTGAAGCGATTATGAAACTGATCGGCGAGCGATGAGTAATGCCGCAAAAAAATAAAACCATGCTCAGAATCTTCTTGGTTCTTTCGGTAAAGTCACGTAGAAGGGAAGTAATAAAATAATAAAAATAAAACATAACAAAATAATTCTCACGACGTTTCGGCCACAACGCAAGCAGCCGTCTTCAGGTGGAGCCTTCTCGACAGACCTGTTCTCCACCTGAAGACGGCTGCTTGCGTTGTGGCCGAAACGTCGTGAGAATTATTTTGTTATGTTTTATTTTTATTATTTTATTATTTCCCTTCTACGTGACTTTACCGAAAGAACCAAGAAGATGAATCCCTGCAGTCACGAAAGTTTTAAATCGAAATCATGCTCAGAATGTTCAAGCGATTAGGGATGTATTTGTCGACATCGGCATGGCCTAGCAGGAGTGGGTGTCTGCCGCTTGTCGCGAAGGTTCGCGGTTCGTGACCAGCAGCCGCCCCCCTGGTTAATACCACGATTGCCACGCGCTGTGCCCATCACAGAACGGCGTTAGAGATCCCGTGAGGCGGTTCAAAAACAACTTCCGCCACCGCCGCCGTCGCCGCTGTCGTGAAAGTCCAAGTTTTGACGACGGACTCGCAAATTCCTTCTTTTGGTGAAACGGCATCGCGACATCGCCAGCCGACTGCGCAGCTACAGCAGGCTGCTCCCAACTGAAATATTGCACCCTCGTGATAGCCCTGCACTGTAAGAATGGTACAGATATCAAATGTACTCATGATTTGAGTTGATTTAGCACACTGGTTTTCTGTCAAAAGTTGGGCTAAACCCCTTTTATATTCAGTGGAACGAGCGGTGGTTGCAGGCGACAAAGCCTTTTGGGATGAATGAAGGGACGCGCTCTGTACGTGTCATGAATGGGCTTTCTAAACCCGCAAGATGTATTTACAATGTCAACTTCACAAAAACACCAAACCAAAAGTGGCTCGTGTAGGATTTTCTAACTCTAGGCTGCTCGCAAAGGCCTATCATCAAACTATCTACACCGCACTTTAAGTGTACCAAAAATGTAAAAGTCTGCTTTATCCAAATTTAACAAAAACATTAAACATCGGGCGAGATTGGATTTTGATTTTCTTTTATATTTAGAATTGGAACACGTCATCATCACTAGCAAAAAAACCGGAATGCTTTTGTTACTGTGACTTACAACTGGTGTTAGCATGCACGGCTGCAAGCATCTACGCAAGAGTGGAAAATCCATCCAAGCAAAACGTTAACCGAGGGACTTTCATTAAATAACAATACTGACAACAAACTAATGCTACAGGTGAAGATTCATAGCAGGCTAAATATCGGTAAGACTAGAACTACAGAGGCAGCTACACGCCACGCACATTAAACTCTAAAACGCATTTTAGGTAAGCAGCTTTTACTTTGTAATTTAACTCGAATGTTATTTATGTTTCATTTTCAAGCCTGTCTGCTTTCCCCACAGTAAAAAATAATATACTTTCGTTGAAGGACAGTACACAGAAGTACGGTAAACTTCGAGAGAGAGAGAGAGAGTGAGAGAGAAAGAGAGAAAATAAAACACTCGCGCAGAGATCCAGGCATTTGGTCAAGAACCAGCTTCAGTCACATCACGCTATTTTACAGACACTTTCATCTACAGGCCGAATGCTATAAATATGCCGTGTGAGAGTAGGAGTGGGGGGGCACCGGTCATCAGAAGTAGATAGTGTTGCAGGATTTTAGCGCCTGAAGTTTTGCGGTCAGGGCTGCCCAAGGTCACCGGTCGTTTTGTGAAACACGTAGAGACTGGTAGAAGGTCACTTGACTTGTTTGGCTCGTGCGGCCGCTTGGTAGCAGGGCGGACGCGCCGAGCAAACCTGGGAGACAGGAAAACGCAGACACGGCGTTACCAGCCAACCGCCACAAGCAGCTTCATTATCATCAAGCATGATTAATCCACTGTTGGATGAAGGCCTCACCCCCCCAGCCACCCAACCTCCCCCCACCCAAAGCTGTAGACATCTCTCCTCCTGACCCTACGAAGTAATAATCCGCGAGTTCATTTCATCCATCCATCTCCCCTAGGTGGACGTATCCGTGGATGCATTCCCATTGCTTGGTGACCAATCCGTCATTGTCCTCGGCCATCAACACCCTGAGCGGCAGCGTCGACTTTTAAAGATGTCGTTGAACGTGCGTCTGGTCTCTGACCCACGTGTGGTTCCTCTCTCTCTCTCCGCGATGACCACCACAACCACGTGACTTTTCTGTAGTGTTGTGCGCGGTGCTTTTAGCACCACGGCGCGTGGATTTGTAGCGTTTATTTTCATTTGTTTGCTGGTGACTTTGTGTATTTCATATAGAAATCGCCTCCAGTGCTTTTGCTGCTGGCGGCAATAAAAGTTGTTTAAAAGTCAAAATCTCCCTCTCTCCGTGTCTCAAAGCAATTGCAAGCATGCACCTCTCTACGCTTTGTTGTGCAATTGTCGGTATTTGTTCTAATTTTTGTTGTTGATGACCACGTTTTATGCGTCTGCCAAGCAGCTTATTGGACAATAATCGGCCACTACATCTGGGGCTTTTGGCAGCGCGCGCTTACTTTTGAATTTGAACTGCAAAGCAAGAGAGAGCGACGTGGTAACCCAGTTTTTTTGGAGTCATCGTAAAATTGACGAAACAGTGTAGCCAGTGCCGCTCGCCCCCACTCTGCTCACGACATCAACCAGCTCTTTGCTGTTTATAAAACGTCACCTCAAGAGTAACCGCCGATGTTGAACGCTCTCGGCACGACGTTACGAGAGATACATTTTATACTCTTTGACTTTACCGAAAGAACCAAAGAGTATGGATTCCTGCAGTCACGAAAGCTTCAAATCAAGATAGATACATTTTACATTGCTGGTTATGCTGTAGCGACCAGTTAAAGCGGTTGGACGCGTAGAGAGATAAGCTTGCCCCTGTTTGGAGAATACAAATATTAGTGTTGTGCTAACATTGGAGACTATTTTTGGTAGTAGGCGCACGTGTTGCCATAGTGCCAAGTACGGGACTTATCCCCAAATAGGTAGGCCGAAGTTGGGAGGGGTATTACGCCGTTAACAACAAAATCCACAATTTACCTGGGGCTTATCTCCTTACTCTCCCGACAAACCTGGGATTCTATAAAACTATAAAAATATATATATATTACCAGGTAAGGCTCACTGAGTTGCATAGCTCTTTTTCAGAAGCGACCTTGCCACAAATGATAACTCAATGAAGTGGCTTTTCATGTTTACATTTAAAGCAGCCAAATACTTTATAACGCATATTTATTGTAAATGTGGAGGGAAAAACTGGAGGATCCGGAGTAAAATCTACACGACCACGGGGAGAGAAAACTTGCAAACTACAAATATACACGTGTCAGGGTCGGGATCGAACACACAACCTTCTGTATACCACGCGAGGTAGTTAACATCTCGCTACCGCAGCGCCCCTCTCACTGCGCCACTAACCATTCACGAAACACATGCACACTCGCACTAACGCATGCACGAGCATGTGCACAAGTGCGAACAAAGACAAAATATCTCGTATAGCCTTAACAGACTTTTGAGGCAAGTGCTGTTCGCGAGCACCTATTAAGGCCGGCGCAAGGGGGTGGGCGGCCAACGCAATGACCTGACGTTTTTCTTTCCCCGAGTGGCAATGTGTACACGCTGCACCAGGTACTCATTTGAGGCTGAGTCGACCTAGGAGAGGTCCACGACCGGGTCACCGGTTTCTTAGCGCAGCATGCTAACCACTTAACTACCTCTCCCCAGGTGCGTACATACTCGTGTACACACACGTGCACATATACACGCACCCACACAAAATCTCACACATGAACCGACTGATGAACTGTCATGATTCATGGTCGTAATCCAAATCGAGGTTTATTTATAGAATGTATTGTCTCATTTGTCCGTCTCCTATATTCTAATAGCCTAAATGTGACATTACCATACAATTTGCACGTATAATTAATGATCGATTCTTCCAATGGAAATTGAATGAATGCATGAGCATAGGAATCAGTTTTACACAACGAATTAATAAATCGTCAAGTGCCTAAAACACACGATCACAAAAACAAAGGTCCCCCATATTGCCTTCAGCAGACTATTGGGGCAAGTGCTGTTCGCGAGCACCTATTGAGGCCGGCACGACACGCGAAGGGGGTGGGTGGCCAGCACCACGCCCGGCCGCCTGGTCTCCCGAGCGCTGATGAAGGCCGAGTCGACCTAGGGGAGGCCCTAGGACCGGTTCAAATAATCGCCGCTTTTATTCAACGCGGGTGCCCGGAGTCGTAGCGCATTCCCGCCAACATTTGAACTCTGGATGGACAATCTCCGCTGCAGCTGAACAGCGACAGGGGCACAGCCACTGTGGGGGGTCATGGGTGTTCGGATCCCACCAACATGTTGAGATATGGCTAAGTGACACCCACAACAAGTTGTGGGCCCTGGTTAGCACACATACACAGGGTCAACACAACACACAGCCACACAGTAAACACACACACATGCACAGTGCAAGCACATACATGGACGGTCAGCACACACACACGGTCAACACATACACAGCACATACACAAAGTCAGCACACACACGCGGTCAACAACAACAACAACAACCGCCATTCGCCACTAAGTGGCGGTGACGTCACCACGACGCTTGTGCCAGGCCCGTTTACTTCGTGGTTTCGTGGTAATAAATTGAGGGTGGAGGGGTTACCAGCCCCTCGCACCCGTCCAGAGCCCCCGTTTAGCCACTGTGGTGGTCACAGACGCCATGGGGGTAGAGGCCAATGAGGCATTGGGCCTCCCCCCACAGCACTGTCCAAGACAGTGTTGTCACGCGGTCAGCACACACACACAGGGTCAGCACACACACATACACGTACTTCCCAAGTGTGGCCGCACCGCTGCAGGGCAGTGACAGTGGTACCCACCGGGGTTCGGAGGGGGTGGTGTGTGGGGAGGCGGGCGCTCGCGGCTCTAGAAGAGGCCGCAGTCCTTGAGGTTGTTCTTGATGATGACGTCGGTGACGGCGTCGAAGACGAACTGCACGTTCTTGGTGTCGGTGGCGCAGGTGAAGTGTGAGTAGATCTCCTTGGTGTCCTTGCGCTTGTTGAGGTCCTCGAAGCGGTTCTGGATGTAGGACGAGGCCGCCTCGTACGTGCTGGGGCCTGAGGGGTCACAGCGGCCAGAGGATGGCAGGCGGCGTCAAGGCTATCGTCGGCTGCCCCCATCTATCTACCGCTGGATGAAATACGTTTTTTAAAATCAGAATCTTTGTTCATCCTGGAATAATCCCATGAGCTATGAATCTCTTTTTCACAGATCAGCAAGATACATCAACAAACAATGGAAACAACGATACGAGTGAAATTAGAAAAAAGGTAAAGCAGGTCGCTAACATAAATAGAGGATAGGAATCGGACAAGGAGACACGCTTTCGCTAAGATAGTTCACACTGCCAAGGTGACGCGTTTTCATTCGGATTGAAGACAAAGGCACGCACGGGAATTGATAAAGGGGGTTTGGCGTCTCATAGCTCCTGACCACGTAGCCATCACCACGACCCACTGAAAATGAACTCCTGGAAATGATTGTAGAATGTTTTGTTAAAGAAGGGCTGCAAAAAAGTTGGGCTCGCAATAAATACGAGCAAAACCAATGTCGCGAACAAATCGCTTGCAGCAAAAAGATTTCTGTCAGGGTGTCACAACTGGAGCTGTGCATAACTAGGACAGTTGCACAATGCATTTATGAATAATATATATGTTGTGGTAATTTTTTTTGACTATAATTTGCATATTATCAAGAATAATTATGATAACTGTAAATGCAATTATTTGGCATGAAATCGATTCAGCGCCCCCTGTGATTTGAATGTCACAACTCGGGGGTTACGATTCTATTCAAGAACCAGTTCGTTGTCATCTTGTTTGTACTGCTCCTTTCGTATTTACCATCTTGATTTGTTCGATTAGCCTCAAGGTAACGTTTGCCTACGTGGTACGCAATCAATTCTTAGGTTGCTCATTCAACGCAGGTATCGTGTTCATTTGAATCAACAAATGTAAAATTCGTGAATTCGCCACATGGCTAATTCTTAGAAATATAATCGCGGCACCATAAATCATAACAAGCGTGAAGTCAAATTTCGATTTAAAGCTTTCGTCACTGCAGGGATTCATCTTCTTGGTTCTTTCGGTAAAGTCACGTAGAAGGGAAGTAATAAAATAATAAAAATAAAACATAATAAAATAATTCTCACGACGTTTCGGCCACAACGCAAGCAGCTGTCCTCAGGTGAAAACCAGGTCTGTCGGGGAGACAGCGTCTGAATGACGCAGTCACGCAAGCTTTTAATCAGGTCTGTCGGGGAGACAGCGTCTGAATGACGCAGTCACGCAAGCTTTTAATCAGGTCTGTCGGGGAGACAGCGTCTGAATGACGCAGTCACGCAAGCTTTTAATCAGGTCTGTCGGGGAGACAGCGTCTGAATGACGCTGTCTCCCCGACAGACCTGGTTTTCACCTGAGGACGGCTGCTTGCGTTGTGGCCGAAACGTCGTGAGAATTATTTTATTATGTTTTATTTTTATTATTTTATTACTTCCCTTCTACGTGACTTTACCGAAAGAACCAAGAAGAGAAAAGCTCGAATTTAGTGGAGGCTCTACCGCAAGCAGTCTCGCTAAACAGGAAATTGCAGGGCGACACCCTTATCTCAGCTAACAACTGAAGAGTTCGCTAATGATTTATCTTGTTATTTTTCAAATTAAACCACGCAATCTCACCGAGGTCAACTTTACGCACGACAAGTAACGGCATCCAAGACGCTAACACCAACATCATTTGACTGTAATGTGGAAGAAAAAAAACCCACCACATTCATCTGAACGCAATCAAACCATAAGCGCTAAACCAATTTTGTTCGCTTTTTTAACGGCGGCGCCGCATCATTGTTCACGCCTGCGAGCAGCAATCAAACATTAACAGCCCGGGGGCTTTGCAAGTCGTGAAAGCTCCCTCGACAAATGCATATATTATCACGGCATGTTTGTTGGCCAGTTTTGCCACAAGTATGTGTGGTTAATGCAGACTTTGATAACTTGCAATAGGCGAGATGTTAACTACCTCGGCTGGTATACAGGAGGTCGTGGGTTAGATCCCAACCCTGGACGCCTGTATATTTGGAGTTAGCATACTTTCCCCGTGGTCATGTGGATTTTATCTTCGCATTTAGAAAAATGTGTTAAGAGTATTTGGATGCTGCTATACATTTCCACGTGATAAGCCACTTAGTTGAGCTATCATTTGTGGCCAGGTCGCTTCTGCAAAATAGCTACAAAGCTCAGTGGACCTTACCTGGTAAAACAAAAAAATGTCCACCGAATGAACATCTTAACACCTGTTTTTATTGCCAGAAAGGGTGAAAAGCCTAAAAAAGATTCTCTCATCGTTTTGAAACTGGCAAAAAGGTCCCATAGATAATAAATCCCCCATCGCCTTCAAACTCCGCTGCACAACATGAGCCCAGGCACAATGCTGTCTTTGTTGAATGAGGCCGACGCTTGGCTTGGCACAGAATTGAATAGATTTTTTCGTTAACAGATTTGCCGATGCGTTCGAACTTGAATACGACGGCTGCTACGAGCTGCTCACGGTTCTGAACGCCGCCGCTGCCGTCTCTCAAACGAGACGAGACGGGCAAAGCGAGGCCTCGTGCGTCACCGCGGAATCTTTGTCGTGAAATGTTTTCGCAATGGATGAAATATGGCGGAGAAGTAAAAAAAATAAGAATTCGTAATACGTGACCTCTAATACGTTGGGAAGATAAATCCATACCGTAACGGCCACTCACGTGTAAAATTGCCCTCGAGATGGTTTGTTAAACATGCCTCTTAATGTTTGCACGTTGTAAATCATAGCTCTTACCACTGCCTCCACAACTTTATGCTGTGATTTTGTCTGCGGAAAATCACGCACCTTTGTATAACACAAGCACCGTCAGTGGCGCACACTCTCAAAGAACAGTCACCGTTATAACGACAGATCGCGGAGACAGAAATGTATAATAATAAAATAATAATAATAAAATAAAATAATAAAACATTAAAATGACTATATTAAATCACGACGTTTCGGAAGCAACACAAGCCTCCGTCATCAGGTGTAACTGCTCCAGTAAAATGACTGTAGCGTTTCGATTTAAAGCTTTCGTGACTGCAGGGATTAAACTTCTTGGTTTTTTCGGTAAAGTCACGTAGAATGGAAATAATAAAATAATAAAACATAATAAAATCATTTTCACGACGTTTCGGCCACAACGTTTCGGCCACAACGCAAGCAGCGGCTGCTTGCGTTGTGGCCGAAACGTCGTGATAATTATTTTATTATGTTTTATTTTTATTATTTTATTATTTCCATTCTACGTGACTTTACCGAAAGAACAAAGAAGATTACTGTAGCGTGTGAAGAAAGCTATTCAAGACACGTGTTTTTATATAGGGTGCTGGGCAGGGAGCAGTGTACAAGCGTACGAGCGTACTTGCAGTCTACTTGCAGTGTACAAGCACGGAGATGGTTATCTCTCCCCCCCCTCGACTCATTGGCTCCTCCCTGCCCAGCACCCTATATAAAAACACGTGTCTTGAATAGCTTTCTTCACACGCTACAGTAATTTTACTGGAGCAGTTACACCTGATGACGGAGGCTTGTGTTGCTTCCGAAACGTCGTGATTTAATGTAGTTATTTCATCTATCATTTTTTTACCTACGTGACTTTACCGAAAGAACCTAAGAGTAGAAATGTATAATCGCCGCACGCGTTTCAAAGAAATGACGGCGCCACGGCCTGCATTTGTATTTTCACGCAATTGCCATCAATTTAATTAAAATCCACCCAACAATCAATGGTCCGCAATGCGCGTAGCCACGCATAGGCGCACGAGGTCCGGCCCTTTCTGTTCAAGTCCCCGAGCCGGCTCGATTTTCCCACTCCGTGGAGCGGATGTTGAAGCTAGGCCTGCGAGGTGAGCAAGCCGGCAGCTCCCGACGTACCCGTGTACTCGGGGAAGCACGAGGTGATGGGGCAGAGGGCAATCTTCTCCTCGAAGATGTCCTTCTTGTTGAGGAAGAGGATAATGGACGTCTCTGTGAACCACTTGTTGTTGCATATGCTGTCGAAGAGTTTCATGCTCTCCTGCATGCGGTTCTGCGGAGAGAGAAAAGCAACCGGTTTTTTTTACGGGCAATCCAGTGAAGGGCTGGCGGGGACATTCGGGGAAAAAAAGCGACCCAACTAGGAGGACTGACAAGGTGGTGTGTGTGGTGTGATCAGAGGCAAGCGCAGGTTTAACACCGTAGGCTTTCGCGACCAATATCATCCATAATACAGGTTTTTTTGTGTTAGATCGCATAAATATATAAAAGTGTCGTTAAACCCGCCACCACCCGACACAGCCAATTAGTAAGGTTTGTCACGTAAACAGAACGTGCCAATTCGTCACTAGTACAGCACACCGGTGTGTTGGAGAGCAAAGCCACAACATTTACAATCTGAGTATGACATAACAACCAGCTTCATCAGGCAACAGCCAGAAATATTTAGCTACCAGGCACAAAGATTGCAAGAGGTACGCCAATTAATATTGGTCCGTAAGCTCACAACATACGAATTGAATCACGTGTGCGTAAGAATGAATGTTTTTCGACTCGTATGTTTCTCAGTGATGGGCTGACATCAACCCCTGCTGTCACAACAGGCACTGTCATTCAATGCACCACAACGTTACAAAAGAGATTTGGTTGTTGCACTGAATCGTGACCCTGAATAGAGACAATTCGTCTGACCGCCAGGAAGGTGAATCCTGATGCCTCCAGTGCTCTGCTGGTGTACTCGCCAATCCGGACTGTGACAACTGCCACAAAGGCACCCGCGTCTGTCCGTTAGCAGAGCCTCATTCGTGCAACTAGTTTCCTTTCGTGGTGGCTCTTGTGTGAACCTCAGTGAGCCGTGCTCAATGGGGGGGCGGGCAAACTCACCCGCAGTCCCTCTGCGACTTTTACGAACGGTCACGATTCAAGGTCTCGATTTGATTTCAGAAGCGATCGATGCACAGACGCTGCAGTGAATGCGAGCGTGGACTTTCCGCGTTAAGCCGCGTGCTTTTCCCAGCCTCCCCCCGTCCGCCTGCCCACCACCCCCTCAAGCCTTCCATCTTGCAGCAGCTTCACCACCTTGAGGCCTTCATCGTCAACGCCTGAAGACGCCCGCAGTAGTGCGTGGTGAAAGCGTGAGAGGAGATACGCTCAATACCCCAGAAACAGAGGTCGCAAACGGGTTTTGATTCCTTACCTGTACCCGGCCGCACCAGGGTCGCAAACGGGTACTCGTACCCTACCCGATACCCGGCTACCCATACCCGGCCGGGTATCGGGTAGGGTACGGGTACCCGATTGCGACCTCTGCGATGAAGCCATGTTGCAGGCGCGGGTGGGTTGATTCTAGGAACTTGAATTGTGAGAAGAGACAAGACGTTGGGAAATGAGTGACAAACGGTTACTCACCAGTGACTCACAGCCTACCCGTACCCGTACCCGGCCGCACCAGGGTCGCAAACGGGTACCCGTACCCATACCCAGCCGGGTACGGGTAGCCGGGTATCGGATAGGGTACGGGTATCGGGTACCCGGTTGCGACATCTGCCCAGAAAACCACACTTTGATTCCGAGCGTCTGTGGAAAACTACGTGCTAAATCGCAGGTGAACGATAGCGCGCCTCTTGCAGCTGCAAAAGCAACGTGAACCGAATGCAACTGCAATGGAATGCGAGCATTGCGAGGTTGGTGGTCGATATCGATATGAATTTAGTGTTTCGGATGAGGGTTACCGTTTGTCTCCTCTGCTTCAATTGCTGAGAGATAATAAACAATTACAGTCAATCCATCTGCATTGAATACGTGGCTAAAGTGAACTGCAGGGTAAAAGGCACGCGGCTAGGGATCCCATAGCTTTTATTGATAAACGCAAGCATTACGCAGACTGTGATTGTGCGCTCTGCCAAATTAAAATAGAAGACTGGACCGCAGAGTGACTCCATCGCATTGATTTTCAGGGTCTCAAGTGACGCCAGCGCTTGCAATGTGGCGCTCACAAGGCAGAAATCACTAACACCAGACACCACAACGCAGATTGTTCGCAGTTGCGGCTTCAGAGTAAATAATAAGCACGTCCCGATCCCCCCCCCCCCGTCACAATTCAGGGTGGCGATCAGATTCAGGACCTGATCGTTTCGTGTCTCGTTTTTAAGCATTTGGCGTTTTACCGTTTCGCTTTCGTTCCGTTTCGTTTGTGCCATTCAGACGGCCCCGTTAGCCTAAATGTAGCATCGCTGCATCACTTGCACAACATTTGCGTTAAACGTAAGTAATAAACGCCTGAATCCCCCCCCCGCCCCGCCTCAGTCTAGCCCAGAAGTATAATTAGTACAAACCGGTGAGCGCGGTTGGCTTTGTATCTATGTTCAACATAGACACACACAGACAAACCACGGTCAGTCCATCGACAGGCTGCATTAGGTGGGGTAAGATGTGGCACTCCCACCTCCTCCAAGATATCTGGACAGCGTGGAAGAGTAGGCCAAAATGCCCTCTACAGGACATCTCTAGAGGAGGCGCGCTTCTGTCAGCAGTGGTGTGAGCAAGCAATTGCAGTGGCTGCACTTTTACCTTTTCTACATTACAAAGACAAAGATCACCCGTGTAACCAGTACCAACACTGGAGGAGCAAGTGCTATTAATGAGCACCTTTGAGGGCCGGCACGGCACACGAGGGGGTGAGTGGCCAGCAACACACGCAGCCACCTTTGTCTCCCGAGTGGTAATATTTACACACAGCACCAGTTACTTATTTGAGGCTGAGTCGACCTAGGGGAGTCCCAGAACCGGTTCACTGGTGTTGACCGTGAGCGGGAATCGAAGCCGGGTCACCCGAGTTCATAGCGCAATGCGCTCACCTGCTGCGCCACCGCTCCCCGCACGCACACGCAACCAAATGTAATTGAATGCACCGTTGAACCAGAACAAAGGTTTAGCGCAGCAGAGCCAGTTCATGTGCAGTGAGCACGCTGACATTAAAAACCAAGACCCCCGGAGGAGGCGTTCCGCTGATGCAAGCACCGACGGTGGCCACATGAACCTCCCTGGGGAAGAGCCGCCCGAGTGTTTGGCACGAGATCTTGTCGGGGACGGCCACAGCGCCCAATGTTGTTTTGCTTGCTGTACCCTGATGTTGCGTCACCACGGCGCCGGGTGTTGAGGAAATTAGCGTTTGCCCATGCGGGCATGAACTACGGTTGCCACCTCTTAGGTATAAAGAGCCCGGGACGTACATCATGGGGAGAAGAAGAGCGTCTCACAATACAAGAGGAGGGGAGAACTACCTGTGAATATAATGTCTTTCGTGAGTGACAAAAAAACTCAACTTTTAATGCCCCCGCACCTCTTGATTATCACGGTTGGCTACGTACGGTGCGAAAGAACATACATACATCCCGGGAAGACTTGATATATTTCCCAGGATCGCAGGATCTACAAGAGGACTCTTGTGGGAAGACCATGGCCAGGTGGCAAACCCTAACATTATAATCAAATCGCGACTCCTCTTTGCGACAATTCGTCGTATCGGCAGGAGAGGGAGGCGAAATTGTTAACCCAAAATGACGAACAAGTGAAGAGTTTTTTTTTGGTCTCCCTCGGCCCATGTCGAGTCGGGGAGCGCAGCATCCAGCTGCCCGTCCCCCCCACACCTGTCCCCCCACACCTGTCCCCCCACACCTGTCCCCCCACACCTGTCCCCCCACACCTGTCCCCCCACACCTGTCCTCTCCACACCTGTCCCCCCACACCTGTCCCCCCACACCTGTCCCCCCACACCTGTCTGTCCTCTCCACACCTGTCCCCCCACACCTGTCCCCCCACACCTGTCCCCCCACACCTGTCCCCCCACACCTGTCCTCTCCACACCTGTCCCCCCACACCTGTCCCCCCACACCTGTCCTCTCCACACCTGTCCCCCCACACCTGTCCCCCCACACCTGTCCCCCCACACCTGTCCCCCCACAACTGTCCCCCCACACCTGTCCCCCCACAACTGTCCCCCCACTCCTGTCCCCCCACAACTGTCCCCCCACACCTGTCCCCCCACACCTGTCCCCCCACAACTGTCCCCCCACACCTGTCCCCCCCACAACTGTCCCCCCACACCTGTCCCCCCACACCTGTCCTCTCCACACCTGTCCTCTCCACACCTGTCCTCTCCCACACTGTCCCCCCACACCTGTCCCCCCACACCTGTCCCCCACACCTGTCCCCCACACCTGTCCTCTCCACACCTGTCCCCCCACACCTGTCCCCTCCACAACCTGTCGCCCTCACACCTGTCCTCATCCACACCTGTCCCCCCAACACCTGTCCTCTCCACACCTGTCCCCCCACAACTGTCCTCTCCACACCTGTCCCCCACACCTGTCCTCCCCACACCTGTCCCCCACACACCTGCCTCCTCCACAACCTGTCCTCCTCCACACCTGTCCCCCCACACCTGTCCTCTCCACACCTGTCCCCCCACACCTGTCCTCTCCACACCTGTCCCCCCACACCTGTCCTCCCCACACCTGTCCCCCCACACCTGTCCTCTCCACACCTGTCCCCCCACACCTGTCCCCCCACACCTGTCCCCCCACACCTGTCCCCCCACACCTGTCCCCACACACCTGTCCCCCCACACCTGTCCCCCCACAACTGTCCCCCCACAACTGTCCCCCCACACCTGTCCCCCCACACCTGTCCCCCCACACCTGTCCCCACACACCTGTCCCCCCACACCTGTCCCCCCACACACCTGTCCCCCCACAACTGTCCCCCCACACCTGTCCCCCCACACCTGTCCCCCCACACCTGTCCCCCCACAACTGTCCCCCTACACCTGTCCCCCCACACCTGTCCCCCCACACCTGTCCCCACACACCTGTCCCCCCACACCTGTCCTCTCCACACCTGTCCCCCCACACCTGTCCCCCCACACCTGTCCGTGACGTGGGCCTCACCGCTACAGAGACACAGACTGCTACGGGTGACTGGCTGGGCTAGGAGGCACTACGACCCCTTTGCAAATCAAGCCCAAGGGCAGTCGTCTCGATGCTGTTGCCCCAGCAGGCTGGCTCTGGGTTTTTTTTATTTTGTTTTACTCAAATCAAAATGAACCGATTTATGAATTCACTGGAGGCTGGCGATGGGCACCCACCATCTCCTCGTCCTCGGCCAGGACCAGGTCGTAGGCACTCATGGCGACGCAGAAGATGATGGCGGTGACGCCCTCGAAGCAGTGGATCCATTTCTTCCGCTCGGAGCGCTGCCCTCCCACGTCAAACATCCTGCGCCGGGGTCACACACACACACACACAAGCACACGCACATACACGCGGACACATACATACGCGCACACACACACGCAGACACACACACGCACACACACGCAGACACACACAAGCACACGCACACACACGCGGACACATACATACGCGCACACACACAAGCACATGCACACACACACAAGCACACGCGCGAACACGCACACACACGTGCACATTCATGGTCAGGCTCGTAAATCTCTCGCGGATCCTTTATCGATCCACACGTGTGCCACTTCCACGGGATGGGGACCAGTTTTAGGCACGTGCGCGCATGCACAAGTGCGATACCAGCCAACAGACGCTGCTGCTGTTATAAAGCTTACCGTGCAGGGTTTTTGCGGCGGTGCCGACACCAGCACCATCGCCGCTACCAGCACCAGCCGCTACCAGAACCGCTGCTGCCAGCAGCCCCACCAATGCCAGCACCACTGCTGCCAGCACCATCAGCCATTACCAGCCGCTACTAGCACCACCAAACGCCAGCACAACCACCGCCAGCACCACCGCCGCTACCAGCACAACCACCGCCAGCACCACTGCTGCCAGCACCATCAGCCATTACCAGCCGCTACCAGCACCACCGCCGCTACCAGCACCACCACCGCTACCAGCACCACCGCCGCCAGCAGCATCAGCACTGGCAGCACCGCCATGCCCTCGCCCTCACGGGAGCCACCGCGCTTGGGCGCCACTCACTTGAAGTGGAGGTCTTTGAAGGTGAAGTGCGTCTCCACGATGCCCGTGGTCTTGACGCGCGTGCGCAGCACGTCCTGCTGCGTTGGCACGTAGTCGGGTCGCGAGATCCGCTCCAGGTCGTTGAGGTAGCTGCGGGGGGAACAAGGGGGCAGCAATGTGATATTCCAACAGAGCGCCATCGGTGAGCGCTGCCAACGCGTGGAATGCGTCGTCCGACGATGCCAGTTTCATCCATTCGTTGGCGATGTTTCACGAACTCGCACGACGTCGCTCCTCATAGCCCTCAACTGGCCCAGCCCGGCCATACAGAACGAGAATGTCTTCTTGGCTCTTTCGGTAAAGTCACGTAGAAGGGAAGTAATAAAATAATAAAAATAAAACATAATAAAACAATTCTCACGCTGTAACGTTCTTACCTGCCCCTACTAGACAATGGTCAAAAAGAGCTGTACAGCTCATCAGATTCCTCCAGAATTAATAAATATTCGGATTCTGAAAAATGCCGACGCAGAATACACACGAGGGGTTTCTGTGGGACCTTGAGCGAAAAGGATGCAACAATTACATAGGATTCACCGATCGCACCTCCGATTAGCACAGGTGGCTACGTACGGTAACGAAAGAAGTTCAACATACGCACATACACGTGCATGAGAACGTACGTTTTTCGATTCGTGTGCTGTTATATAATAGGTTCACCTGACCCATGCAGCTGCTGATGGCCGCTACATTCAACATCAACGTTAAACAGAGAATCAAATGTTTAATCGAACCACGACGACGAATTATGGCAATTCATTAAAAAAAACGCTAGGGTGCAGTATCTTGAGCTTGTTTGTATACCATTGCCCAAGCAGGAGAGGTGTTGTAACAATATGGCTATTACAACCACTTCTGAGTTCCTGAATGCTTGTGAGAGCCAAATTTAAGCTTGAAAAACAGTGCATTATGAACTATTACAGGCTCTGGTCTTACCACAACATCATAGTCAGAGACTGGAAACAGAGCATTGAAATATGGTTGCGTCTGTAATTTAACACAGAGGCTGGTAGTGCCTGTTAGCTTTGACATTATTTTAATGAATTGGACCGCACGCATCGTTACCCCTACTTTGGAGAAGACGCCTTTGGTTGGGATGATTTAAAAACTTTAAGCACTTTTAAGTTTTAAAAGAGAATCTGAGATAATTACATTTTACCTCCAAGGAAGAGTCAGACTTAATGAGCCTCATCGCATACCTAAAACCCACCATCACGAGCAGTGCTCATAATCCTCTGTTGCACAGAATAAGCATTGACCCAAAGTCCACTGAAAGCCTTCCAGGGAGATCTATTGAACAGTCTTTTTTTGTTTTACGCCACTGTGTTAATGCATCCGAGGCAGATGGGGAAAAGCTTCCATAAATGCCATGACCTCGCCGCGTGGAGCATCTGGACAGCGAGTTTCGCGGCGCATTAAGCACACGGCGAGACGCATTTGCGGGAACACCTTTGTGTGCGGTGTCATTAAGTTTGTTCGAGGGAGCGGTGCGCGCATGACCACAGGTGTCTGTGAGCCCAAGACACACAATGTAATGCCCACCTTATGGTGATCCGCGTGAACACGTGGGGCTACAAAGAGGCAAACACGACCACCTGCTTCTACTCAGCAGCAGCAGGAGCAGTCCTTGTGTGTGTGAGAAGGTTTGAGCACGTTCAATTAAACAAACATAAAAAACAAAATACGAACAAAAATTGGGCCAATTTAAAGCTTGCAGATGGCCGGGTTATAAAAATGTCATAAAACGGGGTGCAATTTGCCGCGATGAAAAAAATATATATATCTATTTTGAGAGAGGCCTTTGCCAACGTCAATGGCGACGGGCGATATCAAACTGTAGGGTGAGGTGCAGACGCACATCGTGGAAGTCGCAGGTGGCCCAGCTGCCAGAGAATGGCTCTCGGTAGTTCAAGTTCAAGCTCATATATTAGGCATAGCCCTGTGAGCCATTCGGCTCTTGAATCGGGTGCAACCGCAACAAACAAAAACAAAAGCATGAACAAAAACACATCTTAAAGTGAATATGTGACTGAGTGCAAACAGAAAATCCAAGAAAAGACAGCAAAATATTGCAGACAAAAAACGAGGATAGACAGGATGCGTAAAGTTCACCTTTCCCTCCTACCCCAACCCACCCACGTTGCATAGGATAAGCGGAGTTCTGCTGGCTGCGATTATGTTAAATCAGTAGCATCCACTGGCAGCTGATGACTCAGGTACGGAGCCGACTGATTAGTGCGCTCCTGTATCTAGACGTTCCCACCATCATCGTATCGGCATTTGTGTCCTCCTGTTCAAGAGAGTAATGCAGACTCAAAACTATCAGGATTTCGTCCAAAACTTGGGTGTGTCTCGTAGCCATATCGAGACATGGCGTGGGTGTCTCAAAGCCATATCTGGAAAATGTTGAACATGTCTGAATTTCTGGGTGTGTCTGGCCACCCACAACATCCACGCAGTGGTTGCTCCTCTGGCCTTCCTTTCTCTGCTGATATTGACCGCTATATATGGATGGTGTAATGTCGTGAGCTGTGCAAGCAATGCAGCTTTCGTAAACAGACGTGTCCTGTTAAACGGTGCTTTAACTCGAGGTCAAAAATACGTGTGTGTGATATTATGGCAAGTAATGCAGACGATCGCGCTCCTTTTTCTACGTTCTTCTTTCTATTAAGCAAAAATAAATAGCAACGAAGAACCAACACAATGCACGTTTTTTTTTATCAGTTGCTTTGCACAGGCGCCAAAGGTCCACGACGTGGAGTGGACAGCAACAAACTGCACTCGTGAATGTGTGAGAGATACGAGCGAACGCTGTTCCTCACTTGAGCGAGGTTACATGAACTTGGGGGGGCAAAGAGACGATGGGAAGAAAGTCGAGGGAAGAAGCAGCAAGAGAAGTGGTTGTGATCCGCAGTGTGGTGAGTGAGTGAGTGTGTAGTTGTGACCTGCAGTGTGGTGGGTGAGTGAGTGGTTGTGGCCTGCAGAGTGAGCGAGTATGTGGCTGTGACGTGCAGTGTGGTGAGTGAGTGAGTGGTTGTGATCTGCAGTGGGGTGGGTGAGCGAGTGTGTGGTTGTGACCTGCAGTGTGCTTGTGTGAGACGAAGCTTATCTGGCAGACCGAGTCCTAGTACAGTTCTACGTTTACACCAGTGTTTTCATGACCCAATTTACAGAACTCGGTAAACTAACTTCACGAGATGCTGCTTGTCCCTTTTTTCCCCTCTTTTGAAAATCCAACGTGTCCACACACAAGGCCCTTGCCATTTGCTGTGTACACAGCACCTTGTATCTTTACGTGCACGCGCACATGCATATTATTGCCAAGGCGAAGGTCAACGAACAAAGAGGCAACGGACTCGATGGCAGAATTACGGCTCTCTGTGGGGGCAAACAGCCACAAAAGCGCAATCTGGCAGTGTCGCCACCTGCGCCTGTGCTCCCACACGATGGAAATAGCGCGTACTCTGCGATTAAAGAAAAAATATCTCTCTATCCGTAGGGCCTCTCCAGAAGGACCGCCGAGCTTCCGAGCGCCGCTGGGCCACGTCCCAATCCTTGATCGAACCACCCCGTGCGCGATTGAACTTAGGCAAGAAGAGGAAACGCAGCTTCCTTCCCGCCTCCCCCACGGGGGCTGGTGCCAGATGCGAGTGGCAGATTGACGCACACTTCCCCAAACGCAAACACAGGATGTGCGCGCGCTCGCGTGCGCGCACGCGCCGCTGCCTCCCCGCGCGCTGTGCCACCATCGAGGCACGAGGCGGCCGAAGATTCCACGCGCATCCGTTCGGCCTTGTGGAATGCCCTGGCCCCAGTGGCGCTGGAGAGCACTGCCTGTTTTACCGCAAGTTGCACAGGGCCCCGTAAGAAGTGGGGACCGCTTGGGGAGGGCCTTCATCCAGAAGTGGACCGATCACGGCCGATGACGATGACATTGCATTTGTGTTGGTTGGTTGGCATCGTGCGATGAGACGAAAGACACTTGCAATTGGGAAAGTCTCACAGCGAGCAACGCGTCCGCCTGCGTGTAAGAGAACGGTCACTGGGAGACGACTTCACAAAAGGGGCTGCTGAAGTCACTTGAAGAGACCGCACCATCTTCTTGGTTCTTTCGGTAAAGTCACGTAGAAGGGAAATAATAAAATAATAAAAATAAAACTTAATAAAATAATTCTCGCGACGTTTCGGCCACAATGCAAGCAGCCGTCCTCAGGTGAAGAACAGGTCTGTCGGAAAGACACAGGTCTTTTGGAAAGACACTGTCTTTCCGACAGACCTGTTCTCCACCTGAGGACGGCTGCTTGCGTTGTGGCCGAAACGTCGTGAGAATTATTTTATGTTTTATTTTTATTATTTTATTATTTCCCTTCTACGTGATTTTACCGAAAGAACCAAGAAGATTAATCCCTGCAGTCACGAAAGCTTTAAATCGAAATTTAGACCGCACCATTATTCACACTCGGTGTACACCTCGCACTGCCCTGGGTGTTATGCAACACCAGGAATCGAGCACGCACGCACACATTGCCACACGTTTACCACACACATTATGAAACCTCTGAGGCTGTTGCAACTTTTAAATAATCTAGATTGAAATCTCATTTCTTTAGAACTGCTTTCTTTGTCCTTACCCGCATCTCCAATTAGCATGGTTGGCTACGCACGGTGTGAAAGAAGTTCAACATACATACACACACATGGCACCACTGAAACCCTTCCCCATATTAAAAAGCGTGCAGGGGTTAAGAGGTCGAAGTCAACTGCAGTGTCGTATCTGCAATGCCGCCTGAGGTCAAATCGCCCCGAATGCCCCCGATATCGTCAGACAGCCCAAAGCTAAGCTGGTTTAAGCCTGCTTTGGTTCTTCGATGGGAGAGTGCCCGCTAATGCCAGGTGTTGTAGGGTTTAGGCTGCAATGTGGCCAGAAGATGGTAGTATATCAATGAATTCTTGAATCTGTGTACAGCTGTGAGTCACCCACTCCCCTATACATACATCGGTTTTCTCCCGGAGTTCCGGTTTTGTCCGACATGACCGCAAACACCGAGTAACAGAACTGGCCCAACACCCCAATGTAGCAACCTCCTGAG